GAATGGATGTCTGTTTGTGTTAAGGTTTCGAAGGTCCTTCTGCCCATCAGCCATAAGACTTTTCAACAAACACGTAAAAACAGTGTAATAATCATTCCTCTCATTCTTTTGAATCTACATCCTACATATATATCTATCTCATGTGTCATATTCATATTCAATCTTTAGGTGTGTGTGCAATACTTTTTGAATTGTTACATCCAATGTATATTTTCCACTTCCCATGTGCAATATCACTGTGAATTTCCAGTATCTTTGTATAGTGTTTACATTTTTCTTTCTATTTATACATACATGTATATATATGTATGTGTATATATGTATATTTTTAATTCTTATGTTCTTTTTTTATATATTATATATATATATTTTTCTCTATCTTAATACCCTTCTGCTGCTGTAATATAGAAATGTCCACAGTGTGGGATGAATAAAGTCTATCTTGTCGTATCCTATCTTATCTTTGCTCACACTGTGGATCCAATGATACCTCTGTGACAGGGATGTTTGAAATYTTTATCTATTAATGTTGTGATCCCCTCTAATTCCATCCAATAGGTAGATCACATGAAAATAAGGATGAAAAGAGAAGAGAAAGAAATGATGATGATGAGTATTATTATTATTATTATACTGCTATCATCTATAAAAAAAAATTTCATTACAACAACCAGTCTGACAATAGATCCTTGTCTCTCTCTCCCCTCTTTCTCTTTGGCCGCTCACATTGAATCTGGTTCTTGAGGTTTTTTTAGTTCTAGTAGAAGAGAGTTTTTTTCTCTACACAGTCGTCAGTGCTGCACATTGTGGGAACTGTTGGGTTTCTCTATAGTTTTACAAGGTCTCAACTTTACCATGAAAAGTGCCTTGAGTAAATCTCTTTTATGATTTGGTGCTAAACAAATAAAAGTGAACGAACTCACTTTCCTCAGGCTGTAACCATACTGAATATTTAAGCCTGCTTTCAGGTATCCAGTGTTCATCTTTACAACATTTTGCACCACATGTCTCAGATCCAGTCCTTCTAGGCCCCAGTTCCAGCTCAGCCCCAGCACGTTGTGTGTTTCCTGATCTCACCCACAAACAGCAGCTCTACAGCAGCACTGCCTGGAAGAATTATTCGACATCCTAAAAATAATGCAAAAGAGTCAACATGATAACACTTCCTTATGTTGTTCTGGCTGCTTTGCATTGTAAAACCTCTCTGGCAGGAGTTCTTTGACCCATGTCCCTCATGGTTATTTCATATCATCGAACTGTGTGTTACATCTGTCCTGGATCTATGAATGTGTTTCAGGGTGGATTTTGGAAACTTGCTGATTTGAGAATGTCTTCTTTCACAGCAAGGTCATTCAGGTCCAGAGGAGTCCTGCAGCTTCAAGAACGAGTAGAGAAACAAAAGAGTACAGTGGTACTAGCTTTGTGAAGAAGTACCTGGATCTTAAATTCAAACACATCTTTGAATCAAGACACATTTCTTTTCTAGACTCACATGAGGTCACCCTGACCTTTGACCACTGAAGTCTAATCTGTTCATCTTCAATTTCTTCAGGTGACAACTGCTCAATATGTGAGGAAATGATCAACAGACAGACTTGAAGTATCATGTTCAAGAGGCCAAAACATCTTTTATAAGTTCACCTCCACCAACTGAAATCTAATCAGTTCATCTGTGAGTCTATGGCTGTGTTCCAAATCCCTCACTAATCACTATATAGTGCACTACATGGTGAGTTCACCATTTTTAATGGTGTCCAAATGTTTATTGATTTTTTTATACCGTTTGTAATGGACTCATTGTTTCCCACAGTGCTTCATGAAAAGTAATGTACAACCAATGGTCATTAGCCAAACAATATATACCATCATGCATTGCACATCACAGCACAAAGTGGAGAAAACAAGTTTATTTCTACATTTAAAGATGATCATCCAACATGTTTTTTTACATTAAAGCTGTAAAATAAACATTTAAAATTTACTGTGGGATTTTCCATGTTGTTTGTTTTCCAATGAGCTCACTATATAGTGCTCTGTATAGCAGTCACTTTTCATTTAAGTTGTGATCTTTTGTTTGGACTCTGTTTTTGTACATTTGTGTTTTTGGATTTGTACTTTGCAATTAAATGTTCCCTTCCTTGTGTGCCTTCGCCTCAGTTTAGGTACGTCCATGTTGTTCAATTTCCTGTTTTAATGTGTCATTCACTTCCTGTTCCCCCCATGTGTCATTGTTGGTCACTTCATTCTTGTGATTGTGTGCCTCTGACCTCATGTGTTTCACCTGGGTTCAGTTATTCCGTCTGTCAGGTGTTCTCTTTGCTTTGGTTCTGTTCAGTCCAGCTCCTGTGTCTCTGTTTTGAGTTTCAGCTTTTGGATCACCTGAGTTCTCTTACCAGCCTTCTGAGTGTAAGCAATTCAATATTTTGATTTAGGATTTTTCCCTGCACTTCTTGTTTTTTTGTTTTTTTTGCATCATTTGTGTCCAGTTATACAACAAACGTGACATTAACGAGGCAAAAAGTTGATTTGTGAAGTTGATGACCTTGAACTTCTTTCAGTTGTAATCAAATCATCCATGAAGTGAATATTTGTGTTGGATGTAACAACATTTCCTGAAGGTGTTTGTGATAGATCACATTCACAAGAACAGGATGTCACCGTGACCTTGACATTTTACCTTCAGTCACCATTATTATCATTAAACCTTAGACCAACATGTCTTTCAGTGTGGCCCCCTCTGGCTGTATATGTCTGTCAGGTCATGGTCAAGACCTGTCAGACTGTCCAGAAGGGAAAAGTAAAGACTTAGATATTAAGGACAAGCTAGCTTGGGGGTATTGTAATCCAGAGGCTGGTGTAGTATTTCCATAAATCAGGGGCCACAATTTACACAGAGGGGCCAATTCCATATCAAACATCCATGTCCAATTCCTGATTCAGTAAGATGCACATTTAAAGAGTCAGTGTCTAGAGTTTGGTGACATCTAGTGGTGAAGTTGCATGATGCAGCTGAGTACCCCTCACATCTCACTCCCCTTGCTGCCTGCTCCTGATGTCAATATAAAGGATTTCAATTTAAAGGATTCATTCTAGGGTAAAGACCACAATTTTTACAATTAACATGAAACACAGTAGTGAAAACATCACTAGGGTTATTTTATATTCAATTTCTGCCACTAGATCCCTTTCACCTAGATCTCACAACCTTGACTTCATTCCATGTTTACTTTTAGCTCTATAGCTTTGAACACACACCACTGAATATATTTAAACAAATGTTCCTTGTTCAAGCACATTGTGTACTTCTAATAAACCTGGGAAATAAAAAGTTATTCGATTATTTAGATTCAGAATGACAGGAGTTGTCTTTTTTTAACTCGCATTGTAACTGACATCCAAAACATTAAGTAACCCATCCGGACTGCACTTGTGAAAAGTTTATATTGCATGTAATCTGTATTTTTGACATCAAGCTGTTTCTTTTTACTTCCATTTCATTATAAAGTTTCATAAGTTAGAGTGTTATTGTTAGAGACACTTTCTGTGACCTACATTTCCCATAATGCAACTTTAAAGCATTTTTCTTTGCACCTGATAACTTCCACCTCCTTTTAACTTCTACCCTCTCCGTTTAGAATTCAGGGTTTCAGTTGTAAATGTGTGGTTTCCAAACTCAAGCCAAAGTAACTGGTTTTCAGATCTTCTCACAACCACACAATGAAAACTTTTGCCCCCTGGTGGCTGACTGAAGTACAGGTCATACACACTGCCCCTKCATGTTAGTGGAGTGACATGGATAATACTTAAAATTACTTGATTGACAGAAAGAAACTTAAAGTGGAGATGTGTCATAACAGTTCATGGATTTTTACAGGCTGAGTAAAACTTGCCATGGTGGTAAACTGGGTAAACTAACACTAACTATGTGAAATGTTGGAATGTCCCTTTTTAAAATCTCAAATTTTGTTAAAATAATAGAATTGTACAGCTTGCTTCAGAATAAACTTCATATTGCAAGGCAGCCTCTGACTGGGAAAACAAACTCTCCCACACTTTGAAACCCCCTGGATTAAGGTATTAGATAATAGCAAGGGTTTCAAAACTAGGACTGCATTTACTTTGAATTACATTTTTACAGTGTGATAGTAAATATATATTGTTATATATACACTATTATGCAAGAGAAGAAAGTGTGTACAGAATTGAATGCTGGAGTTTTAACCTGAAAAATAAAGCAAGAAGCTAATATTTTCATGAGGTGTGTCATAGTAAACATGCACTGTAGTACACGGCCAGGTTTAGTTGAATAAACAAACGTAGACTTCAGGCTTTAGATTTTACGAACCATTTTTTAAACTGTAAAAATGAGTAAATTGTGAAGATGAAATTGAAATGAAATAATACATAATGTAGAATTTAAATCTCATTAATTCAAATATTTTAAATCCATTTTAAATGTAATGTGTTGATTGCTGCAAAGACATAAAGAGGAAAATCATTGATTGGGATTTTGAATAATCTAATGATTATTTATACAAAGTGAGAAGATGTTTTTAAATGTATCTAATTACTGATTATAACTATAAGTATAACTGTTCCGATGGCACACTCTATAGTGTTCCAGTCAATATTTGTGTACAGCATCGCATGAGGCCTGTTCAGGAGGAATGATCTGATATCTGACAATATGGAGAAAAGAAAAGCGTTGTTTTAAAAGGAAGAATTGCATCTTTCATGTTCCACATCATTCAAAGTAGAAACCTATGATCATGTGTTACAGCATCACGTGTCTCTTGCAGACGCAATATAACGATCAACTTTTCTCCACAGGAGAAAAACAAAGCTTTCGTTTATTTCAACTTTCAAATGTATCAGAACGCCACGCCCAGTTTCAAGAGGCCCCTTGCTCTAAACCAACCAATCAGCGCCGAGGAGGCGGAGGGGACGTGCGAGCTGATTGGTTCGTTTAAAAATAACAAGCACGTCACCAGCCATTTAAATGTATTCAAACCATAACCTGGGATTCAAACTCGTGTGTTTCTGCTGTGGAGTCAGAGAGGAGACTTTGAGCCGCACATCCTCCGTGTTGTTTGAGGTGAGTTAAGAAACACATGATTCATATAAAGAGAAAATAGTGTCGGTGATCTCGGTTTAACACTTTCTATCGCCGTGTTCAAACTTTAACCTGTTTAAGAACGGGATAGCGAAGCGTGCTAACTGACCTTAGCTGTGCTAGCTTGTTGTTAGCTTCTTGCACGTTTCTGAGACCTAATCGTTCCGTGGTATTAGTAAAACTACAAAGTTGTGTTGTCGTGAGTTCATGTTGTGTATGTTGACCATGTGTGATCTGTAGTCTAAGCTAAAAAAAAAAGACCCCAAACTATCTCCACCTTTCTACGTCTTGTTTTCATTTCCTGTTGTATCAAACTGTATGACTGTATGACTGTATAGCAGCCACGAGGGCAAGTTTTTCATTCATCATATCCTGCATTGTTAGAGCTGGACAATGAAACAATATCAAGATCAATAAAAAAAAGTCCATATTTAAACTAATATATTGCTTATGCATTGTTCTGACACAGTGAGGAGCTATAACACAGAATTATTAAACCCTAGATTTGTAAAATCCTTTGCTGTTTATCGTTCAAGCCCACAATCCTCACTCAGGAGCAAAAATCTGTCTTGAAATTTAAAATAAATAATAATGAGACATCCATTGTGATAATTTTCAATATTGATTGATGTGAACACTTTTATCTTGTCTGTGTGTGTTAAGCGTCTGATGTTATGCTGTTGTTACAGTTTCTGTGGAGTAAATCTTCTTTTCTGTTTACCTGTGAGCCAGTTAACCTTAGATAACCATAATGGGATCCAGTGAGAGCAAGATGCCCGTGTGTGCACCGGTAAAACCAGAGCCTGCCATCAAAAACAGTCACTTGGGTCATCTGACGGATCCACGCTCTCCTTCGACAGGCATCGATCGCACTCCTATTCAGGTAGGTTGTCTGGAAGATTTCCCACCACATGACCCTTCTGAAAGCTGTGGGAAGCATTTAAAGAGTTTCACAACAAATGTTTTTCCCAGGTTGGTGGGCTTGCGACCAAACCCTCTGCTGCAGCGAAAAGTGAGTGTCCACTGGAGTTCACTGATCCCCGCTCACCTTCTGTTGGTATCAACCGCACCCCTGTCAGAGAGATCATGAGAGGTAAATATTTAGTACCTTCAGCTTATTTAGTACCAGAGTTTTCTCGCCTCAAAAACAACACATGATGATGTTCTTCCACTTGTCTCCCCAGCGAAAGTCGGGTCCTTTGCTCGTCGCCTGGGCATGTTCCTCCACAATGAGGCTGAAGGCAAAGTCTCTGAAGCCCCTCAGAAATGCTTCAGTGACGCTGTGGAGGAGGAGGTCTTCAAGTCAGAGGAGCTGGCTTCCACCCAGCCCCTCCTGTCTCCTCAGTCGTCCAAAACCTTCAGCTCCCTGGCTGAGCATGCCGACCTCCTTGCCACCCCTGTGTCACGCCCCCTCCAGAACGCGGGTGAGTCAAGCCCCTTTGTTGTTCTGCCGGAGCCCCAGGTGGAGGTGGAGATAGAGACAGATATCAGCCTGGAGGAGGCGGAGGAAGCGAGGGAGTCTCCTCTTCACAAGCGATTAAGCTTGAGTCTGATAACCTGCCACGAGGGAGCAACCTCATCACAGATTTTTGCTGAAGTGCACCAAGACAATGCTTCTCCTCTTCCTAGTGTGGAAGTGGAGCCTCTCAGCGATGGCGTGGATCACTCTTATGCCCTTCCTAGCATCGTAGTTGAGCCAGAGTCTGACGTTGGGCCTTCACCAACCACCACTGAAGCTGAGTCACCAGTGCAGACATCCCCTGCACAGCCAGATGAAGCAGAGAAACCATCACCCTCTGAGGAAACTAAAGAGCTTGTTACAGGATGTTCTTTACCTCCTGCATCTGTTTCATCAGAGCCACCAGTCATCCCCAGCCCAGAGCAGCAACAGCTCTGCAGTGGCATCCGCTGCCCCACCTTTGACTCAAAGAGTCCCAGTCAGGTGGTGTTCAAACCGCAGTGGTTGGGAAAAGGCTTCGGTGCCTCTGGGCTGAGAGTCAGAGGGGTGCAGGGGGGCAAAAGAGGCTCCTCTCCTCTCGCCGTCCGTGTGACCGTTAAGAACGCAGCCAATCAAAATAAGGGACAGACTGGAAAACTGAAGCAGAAAGGTGTGTAGAAAGCTTGTGCCTACATGTTATATATGACAAGTTATTGTTATCTAATGTTTTTTGCTTTTTGTCCAGGTACCGAAGGCCGCTCCCCCCTGCAGATCCTTAGGGAGAGCAACTCGCCCAGAGACCAACGTTCTCAGGTATTATACTCAAGCAAGCACTTGCTGCTATTGATCCATATTCACTCAAACTAAATTGCATCTATATTTGGTTATTTAATCGTTCAAAAGTGAATCTAAAGACAAAGTAAATCAATTTGCTGTGTCAACTTTCCAGAAGAAGCTGAAGGTTTCCACCCCAGACAAGCATAGACAGGGGCTGGTGGGCCACAGAGTGCTGGCAGTGGCTCTGGATAAGGAGAACAGATGATTCACTGCAGCCATGCACAGATTCCTGCTACTTTTATATCTCTTAAAACATTCTTTTATTTGTACAGTTTTCTGTCCTTTTGTGTAATTATTTTTAACTGCTATTTTATGCAGTTTTCTGCCCTGTTTGTGCTTTTTGTAAATATAAATAAAAGTATTTGCATTCATACCTCAGCTTTTAATCTTTTATTTTGAAGTGCCCCCCCCGCTATTTAGCTTTCCTTGTATTTTTCTGAAATAATTAAATATTCTCCTGTGTTTAAAATGTTTGTAGTTATTTCTGCACAAACACAAATATTTGTTAAATTGACTCATTTCATTTCTCATTTCATTGCCAGGTGCTTTCTGAGTCTCATCGCTCCTGGCTATGAAACACAGTTTTTTTTTTTTGTCTCTTGTCTCTCTGTCTAGTTAATTATAAAGAAGCTACATTAGTGTGCCTGTAAATAAAACCAGAAACACAAGTATGATTTTAAAAAAAAAAAAAAAAGATAAATGACTTCAATATACTGAAGGGGGATTTTACTATAATCGTGTTAAACACGATAGCAGAACTGCAGTCAGTGTGTAAAAAAATAAATAAGAGAAAAAAGGTAACACTAGTGACTTGTATAATGCAGAATCCCAGGTTTATTAGACATTCTTTCAGAAAGGTAATATTGCTTTTACTCAACAGTGTAAAGAGAGGTCCAAATCCAAGTCACAGCGTGGAGAAAATGTTTCTGTATTTACACAAATGTTCCTTCAAGATCATCTGTTATCATGAATAAGGAAATGTCAAGCTCATATACAGATTCAGATGTGCTGCTCACACAGCCACACAATAGCATTTATCCTCCAGGGGAAAAAACAACACTCATATAAAGAGTCCTGTCCTGAGACAAATGGGTCATCCCTCTTTTTTTTTGTTAGTGCTTAATGAACCATGAAATCATTTTTATTATCCCATCTGTCAGTTCAACAGTTTACACAAAGCACTTTCGGGTCTAACCCGGTGGTTAGAGACCACAGATCCTGGTGAATATTTTCCATCAATCACATACAAAAACATCTCAAACACTAATGTAGACATCTGCAAACTAAAAATCAATTAAAATTAGAAAGTGTAAAGAATTTAAACGTAAGCGTGGAGGGAATCTACCAAAACTAAGAACAAACAACAGTCTGAAACAAAACAAAATGCAAATGTTCATATTCACTTCATATGACTTAATTTAGGCTTTGATACAGCATTTTAGCAGAGCTGGTGTAAAACTACACAGGCTGTAACTTGACACGTATTCAGTTCTATCTCATCCAGTGTGCTACCATTTCCATTTGGCAACTGACCTCAGCAGGTGATGTTTGAATGGCTGCAGTAAATGTGCATGTGTTATTAATTTGAACCACAACAGAATTCACTAATGAGAGGAATGGTCTTTTCAGAAACCCCACACCCAATATCCCACCGCGAAATTCACCAACTAGTGAGAAAAAAGGTGAGAGCGCAATGTGACAGAGAGAGAGAGGAGAATTTCTTTTTTCACATTACAACCCCCCTCCAACATCAGACAGGACTTGGCACAATTAAAATACCCTCTTCTCACCCTATGCGGCTCCACATCCCTCCCTCAAACTCCAATTTCTTTTTTATCTTCTTCAATTTCTCCCCCGGCAGATGTTTAACTGCTCTCTCTCTGCTCAATGGTGAGGAACGGCCTCAGTTCCATATCTTGAGGAAGCTGTCCCAGGACCCCGTGCAACACGCCATGCCATCAGAGGACACTCCGATACAGCTCACTCTGTTGTCGTGACCGGCCAGCACTCCTGGGCCACCACACAGAAGAGAAGACATGTAAGCATCACTTGAGAAGAAATCACTCAGGAGCTGAACTTCCCCTTTTCCCCTCCCATATCATATGCTTCCTGTTGATCATTTAACTTTATATTTTCCAACTCACCGACTCTCTCAGCTTTCAGTGAGTCCCAGATGTTGACGTTGAAGTCGTCATAGCCGGCCAGTATCAGACGTCCAGACAGGGAGGGTGCCAGGGAGGTCACCCCGCACATGATGCTGGAGTCCTGGTAGGTGATGAGCTCCTGGTCTGCTCGCAGGTCGTACAACTTGCAGGTAGCATCATCAGACCCTGTTATTACTGCGTTACCGTTTGGGAAGAACTGTGAAAAAAAGGAGAAGTGATTAGACAGCAGGCCTCCTTTGAGAAAAACACCTTTTGTGAAGCAGAGCTGGAAATATTTTTCATTCTCACCCCAATCGCGTTGATGTCACTCTCATGGCCTCCAAAGGTCTGCCTGCATGCGCCCTCCCTAATGTCCCAAAGCTTGGCCGTGAAGTCACACGCCCCTGAGATGAAAAACTTGAAGTCTGGGGACACAGCCAGGGACATGCAGTCTCCCTGGTGTCCTGCAAAGATGGTCTTTTGGGTTCCTGTCTCAATGTCCCATAATACGCTGTGAGGAGACAAAAACGTCATGCATTTCAATTTTAAAGTGAAAAATTAAGATGCAACATTCTCTTTAGTTCAATTACTCAAACTATATTCTTACCAAGTGCAGTCGCCAGAGCTGGTGATGATCTCGCTGTCACTAATGAAACGACAGCAGGACAGGTAACCTGGGCAACCAAAGAAATGAATTATGATAAATCGTGAGGAAATTATATTAAAACGCGACAAGGACCAAACAGCAGAGTGATCTCAAGTGATTTAATTTCCAAGCTGTGACGTCCGAACCTGTGTGCGCCGCCAGCTCACGCATGACCTTGACATTTCCGTCCTTGCCCTTGAGATTGTAGATGGAGCACATGTTGTCCAGACCACCACAAGCCACAAGGTTTCCCGAGGGTGCATAGGCACAAGTCATCACCCACGATGACTTGAGAGGGATGGCGCTCACCTGAGGACACACAGCGGACTGTTTGACTCTTTCTCCTCAAAAAACCACAAATGAACTCAAACCCCTGTATCTGGGAGGAAGCTTTATTTTTAAATCCCCTGGAATCTAAATATTAAATGATATTTATTCATTATTCTTACATTTCTGAATAAACTCTCAATTACTGCATTAGAAACATTAGAGATCTTTTCTGTATATAACATTTGAGATCTCTGTTTTTTTATTATTATCGTCGGCACCTCTCTCACTTCTTTGTGATGTGATGTCACCTGCTTGTCTGAACCAGTCAGGATTCAGCAACACGCAAATCAGAATCTGATGTTTGCAGCAGGTTGTTAGTGTCGATTAAATCTTAAATCGCTTCAGCACAATTCTATAGACGCAGATTAGCTGAGGTTAAATGCTGAACAAAACACAAATTGCCGGTTTAGTCGTAAATATGTAATGTTTTGGAGAAATTCTTTGGATTTGAAATGTTCATATCTTTACGAAATGATCTTCTGTATTTTGGTGCATTTGAGGGTAAATACATGCAGCCGTTTTTTTTTTTTCCTCAGTTACTTTTGATTCAGTTGTAGCTGAGAAAACACATTCATGGCTTCATATCTTGTTTATCTGCGTGTTTTCTTACCTTGTTGGTTGTGATGCTGTCCCACACTATGAGTTTTCCATCTTGTGAGGCACTGACACATAGCCTGCAGGGGTCACATTAACAGAGGGTGAGAAGGAAGCAAACATTAAAATTACCATACGGTGTGCACCGTGTTCCTACTAATTCCTCCATTTTAAAGCACCATGTGTATGTCACAAATCTAATTCACAGATTTCTTCTCACTCGAATTAAATATGACACCATCTGATCTTGGCTGTAAAAGTAAAACAGCAGGTCAACTTATGAACAACATGTTTACTTGGTGTCAGTGCCCCAGTGCATAGCATAGATCTTGGCAAGGTGACCCCTTAGCGTTTTCCTGGTCTTCAACTGGACACGGCCCACCACGGTGATCCCAGCCACCGCCTCCTGCAGCGTGGTGTCCTGCATGGTCTTACGAGCCGCCTGGGGTACAGACACAAACAGAGGTGATTGATTGATCCACTATGCAGTTATAGCAGGATAATGACAATATTTGTTTAAAGAGAAGTTCAGGTCATGGTGAGAAACAGAAGTCACTTGATATCACGGACGATCAGATAATTTTCTTGGTTTATTGCAGACAGGATGAGCCTACTCACAGTGATCTGGTCTTTGAGACTGTCTGCCTCCTTTCGCAGTTGCTCCATTTCACCCATGGCGATGGTTGTTTGGTACGGTCACTAATGGAGACAGGGAGAGAGGTCAGGAAAGCAGATAAGCCTGAAATGAAGAGGAAGAAGAGGGGTAGAAAGAAAAACAGAGCAAACAGAACATCAGTTCACATAAAATTATTCAAGAATATAGTTGTGATCATACCTTTATCCTCCAGCAGCAGCTCTGCCTGCTCTAATGCTTTATGCTAGAGTTTGACCTGCACCTACCTGAACAATTCCAAGTAAGCGCTACTTTGCAAGTCAAACTGGCCCATGTCTACTTTGCAAACTTAATAAACAGGCAGGAGCACACAAAAACCCACAAAACACGCCTACACACACACGCACGCACGCAAATACATGGAGAGAGTATGAATATTTGAGCATGACATTAACAGTGAAAGTATTTGCTCTTCAGATGAAGTTGTGAGCACACATCCTCACCCTGAATGTACACACAAACCAGAATGTCCTGTAAGACGCAGCTCATGACACTGAGTGGGGGTGGAGTCTGTGCCACTTAACACTTCAGTGCACTTGCCGACTTATGTTGATGGCTATTGAATTTGGTAATGTCATGATTAAATGATTGGAGCAATCACCTAATGGACAAACTCATACAGTGTGACAAATGTAATCGAGGCCTGAGAGAAAAAAGGCCGAGTCACGATCTGATTTGACAGAAGCAGAGAAATGAAACTGAGTTCACGGTGAAGCAGCACAATATAACCAACCTCAACAAAAATAAAATCACCCTCCTCCTCCTCCTCCTCTTCCTCCTGAACACATGCAGAAATGACTTTTCTTTTCTTTCGATGCAATAAAGCCGCCACTCAAAACCGACATTTTCACCATCTTACCTCGAGTTCTGATCAGAAGAGGGAATGCTTGTGTTGATCTTATCGTTTGCGTCCCTGCAGCAATCTCTCTCTCTCTCTCTTTCACTATTTGAATGAGTGTCCCTGTCAAAACACATGACCGAGTGGATTTGCGTCTAATTTGTTTGAAGTGAAAAGGAGAAGAAGGGAGTGAAGGTGGGAGTGACTCTAGAAAAGAAAGAGATTAGCTTGAATTGTTTGCCTCTGTGATGAATGGAAGATAGCATAACATACATGTGAAAATGAACATGTTACAGAGCTGATGTGTGGACATCATCGCGGTGTGATACAGAACATCTACTGTGTGGCTGTCCTGTCTGAAACTGATGACAACTGTTCCCTGAAGTTGGGAACCAGGGATTTTTGTTGGCCTTTGTTCCAGATGGGAAATTGCTTCAATAATGAGGGTTGTAATGAATGCTTGAGTGTTTAAGTTGTGCTATTACCCTTTTGCCATTCTGTCCCTGGGACCCTGCCATTGTTCTGTGTGATTAAATGAATGCTAGGGGGTTGCTGGATGGTGAAGTGCATTAACACAGCCAGAGAAAAGAGGAGGGGGGGGGATGGCAGGAGAGTGAGTTTTAAATCCTTCTGGCTGAGATTTTAAGGGAAGCCTTTTGAATCAAATCTGCTCTCATCCGATTACTGACTGCTCTTTGCATCTGGATAAGAGATGGAGGAGAGGATGGCGGGGCGGGGGGAGGGAGCAGATAGCGGGATGAGAATGAGGGAGGGGGCATATGGAGGAGGCGGAGAGAGTTGTTTGGATGGGAGCGGGTAAGAGGCGGGGAGTGTTTTCAGTGCCACTGGGCCTACGAACTTGAGTTTGACCATTGACACCGATACTGTGCAGTTTGAGAGCTCAGGCCCGACCAGTCAAAACTAAATCATGTCTGTGAATCCAGGTCATGGTCACAAGTTGTACATTCCCTAGACAATACAAACAGATGCACATGTAAACTCACACAAGTCTTTAAATATTTCTCTTGTTTATTTTATGCCAGTGTTGGAGCTGTTTATCTTTGCAGTATTTGCAAAGATAAACATTGGGTTGTACAATTATTGGAGAACATGCGTGCCAGGAGAGATAAAACAAATTTGCATACCAACAGACGTTGTTTGCTCTTTGGTAGCTTAGAGTGAAGTATCTCTGGGTGTATAAGACTGTTGTAGTCAAAGATGCTTTCTGGTTATTTTGGATTTGCATGACTTTTGCCTTAAATTTGATAAAGTACCTTGATTTTCAGGTATTTTATTTACAGCCTGTTTCCAATAGCTTTACTATATCATATAATCAGTATTATAACATGGAATCACATAATCATATATAATAATCACATGCGATGGATGATTTTATCCATATAACTCAATCTTAACATACAAGACCAAATCATTTTCTATGCACTTCTGATTCATATATCCTTCATCCACAAAAACAATTTACCACAGTTTTTTATCATGCAGATTATGTCTGATAGTATTAGGAATCAGACCACATGGGAATTTGTTTTACTCAGATTATCAGTCTACACGACAAAACCAGCATTGTATGTTGATCCCATGTAAATCCCTCAGCTGTGTCTGCCACAAAAAACAAGTTCATAAAGTGTGTGTCAACATTATTTTGAATGGCGTCCCCTGTTAGATCACAAGTCTATGACGTTGTTGAATTTTTAAAGATCCTCAACTTTCTGGAAAATGTTTTGATCATTTAATTTGAGTATATATGATCATGACAGTCAAAAAAAACACCTCACAGCTAAAGGATTTCGCCAAATTGTTGAGGATGTGATTGAAAAATATGTTTTCAGATTTGAGCAATTTTTATCTGAGCCATCCTCTGAGCAGTGTGACAGACCTGCACACACACACAAACGCACACACACACACAAACAACTACCAAGAGTGTGTACACAGCGGCATCCAGTCGCACCATCCACTCACCAATGAGGAGCCTCCTCTCAAGGTGTGTCGGTCGATCTTCAGTCACTCTTCCTCCAGCGGTCTCCCTCTGCTTGTTGTCATAAGTTCACCACACTTTCTCCCGCTTCATTCACCTTTGGCGTCTCTCACACACACACAAACACACAGCGGGATATTCCTCCGTCACTCACTCTCTCCACTGCTCCTATGAGGAACAGATGAGGATTGGAGGGATGAAGGGAGATCAGTGATGAGGGGATAAACCCTGGGATGGACAGAAAGAGGGGTGGGAGGGGGTTAGTGGAGTGGGGTGGGGGTGAAAGATACAGAAAGGGAGAGGAGACAGTGGGGGGAACCAAACAAGGTGCAGAGCATGGTTGTAGGGTCACGAGACACACAGGGCCTGGGTGAATCCGAATCAGACACCAAGAGATGGAAACCATGGAGGGGAGGGGAAGGACGATAAATAGAGGAGTCGGGAACATGGCTTTTTATGGTGCTGTGGTGGTGTTTCAAAGACCTGTGACTGGCAGAGGGGTTTGTGTTCTGTAAACCTGGGGTTAAGCTAATATTAGAACATTTAGGGGCAGAGAGGGGAATCAGACAGGGTTCAATGATAACAAAAGAAATGGCTGCAGGATGGAGGAGAGGGGTCTTTCTTGTCAATTCTGACCAAGAGCTACTAACTTCTTTTTCATCAGCCTCTGAACTCTTTCACATGTTTGCCTCTTGCCCATCAGAAAGCGTGTGCCCTCCTGCTGTTGCACATCATCCACCAAACTATATCACCTGTATTAGTTATGAAACACCTTTCGCTCAGTATCATGAGATAGCACCTCCACGTGGTATCAGCCCCTGGAATCAGCTGAAGTGGCTGTGAGCAAGACAAGGGTCTCAGTGTTGGAAGTGTCTGTCCACTGAAGACCTTTGCAATGCTCCACTGACAGTGAGTCAGCAGCTGTGTTTACTTTTTGCATAAAGTGTACTGTGTCTACAATACATAGCATGTTTGCTTTGAAGAAAACATGATGCAACAAGTAATAAGTCCATGCAGAGTTACAGAGTAATATTTGTAACATATTTTCCTTATTGCTGCCATCTGCTTTTCAATAAATGATAACCAGGTGTCCTGGGATGTTTGTGTTTATTTTCTCCAACCCAGTTTAGATGAAACCATGCCCACTTCTGTATGGGTTCCGGTTTAAGTTTCGCTCGCTATATGTTTTCATCATGATCAAGTTGGTGTCATTTAATTTGAACTGGGTTGGAAAAACAATCACCGTACCCCAGGATGCTGCTGTAGTTGATCTTGACCTTTGACCTTAGAAAGTAAAGTTTCCTGAGAGAGACAAATATCACATAATTACTTTCTGTCCAAACCCTGGAGGCAAGAGATTCAGAAGATTAACCAGCCTCTGATACTGTAGATTATGAGCGTTTGTGTGTTTGCACACTTGCATTAATTTCTGTGTATGGAAGACAAAGGTTTGAAGTGTGTGTGGTGCAGGTTTTACTCATGTTGTGGGGACATAAATCTGTTTACAGTCACATTGTGGGGACTTGTCTTCCTTGTGGGAACAAAAAGTAAATCTTTAAAAGGCAAATCATTCAATTTTAAGGGTTAGACAAGTTTTAATGTTAGGTTTAGGCTCAGGTTAAGGTTAGGGTAAGAGAAATGGATCAGAGACGGAGCGTAAGATTAAACCGAAAACAGGAAAAAACAGATTTGTTAGCAGGCGCACAGACACAGACCAGGATAAAGACAGTTATTTTCAGCTGCTATTTAAAGACCAGTGATGTCTTGATGTTGCATTATTTCTATAAAATCTGTGATTTCACAGTTTGTAGCTTTATTTTTAAAGAGATAAGTTAAGAGGGTTAAAACAATGGTTTCCCATAAAGTATCACTGACCTTTGACCTTGTTTTGAATGAATGATGTGCAGAATGGCCGTGTGTGAGAGGGGTGTGGCCACTGGAATTAAATGACACATTGTGACACGAATTTTCTTCCTCATATTATTGAATTTCTATGTCATTATTACACCTAAAAATGGCGTAAAGCATCATCCAGTGACGCCAGAAATCACTCAATAACAGTGTAGGCCTAAAATAGTGGGAAAGTTAATGCGTGGAAGTGCAACACGAGGGATGAGTGATCCTGTCGACTGCTCACCACACACAGCACTCACTTCTAATGACAGCAGGATGTTGTGATTTTAATTTTATAACCGCGCTGTTAGGCCTTACATAATTTCTGCTAATGATAAAAAAGATGCAAAAGTATGACGTCACATCACATCACACCACTATAAACTTTCTGCTTTTCTGCCCAATGTGTAATTAGAACAGTAGACGGCTGGGGTGCTTAGTGGGAGGATAACTTAGATGCATTAAACAGACCTAACACCTACTTACGAGGAGATTAATGCAGACTTTTAAGGGTGCAGCCGGTTTTCA